ATGTATTCAGTGTATTTTATGGACGTTTTAAGTATTATAATGACATCATTATCTTCGTATATATAAGAAATGCGTGATGCCATAAGTCTATAAAGTTTAGTGCATTGACTTTATATAAATAGTTTATTCTTAAATACACATAGTTTTCTTCTTAATTTAATTTATTATTCAATGTCTAATTTATACAAGGTGTTGCCTTGCATTATGAACAATAAGATGACAAATGAATTGTGTTATTACCTTTTTTTTTACAAAACCACCAAACGAATAGGGAAACAGCAGCTGTAATAGCTGAGATGGTTAATGACCCAACGCTTATAATTGCGTTGTCAGTGATGCCCTTGGCTTGACTCCCTTTGAGAAAAGGCAGGTAATAACATTTTAATAGCTGGATAACTTTTAATTATATATCGTGTTTCATTGCGTAAGCACACATCCAGGATAGTGCCAAGGAAACGGGTTGCCCGGGACGAAGCCTGAAAATGGTGCCCATCAGTATAAAGAAAAAAGTGCCGCCCACGGCAGACCAGTAAATAAAACACGATTTTGATACCCTTGACAATGTGAAGCACATGTGATTGTTTAGTTTAATCACTATTATAATATTATCTAAAGACGATTTTTGTCGCCACGATGATGTTGGTGCCCGAGGCGAGTTCCCCGTTGGCCCACCTCTTTCGCAAGGCCCAGCTTTTATCTATGAACATACCAACATTTAAATCTCATTTCGATTTATCATTTTGTCATTTGCAAAGGTAAATAGTATTGTGAAAACAAAATTCCAGGGAATAGTAACATTTCCGTCATTTTTTTGTTTAACCTTGTTTTTATTCAATTAATTCATTTATTGAAATTCATCATTATCATGCTGATAAACGCTGTCATTGACGAAATAAAAATGTACCACAAAATTTGTCATGTGTCTTGAGTATGGACTCAAATGTAAAGAAAGAGAATAATGATACATTTAATAATGTATTTTAATTTTTTGTTTTCAATTTTGTATAAGTAGGCATAAAATAGCCTTTGATTTTAATTATAAGCCTACACAAACGTGTGAATGTATCACTGTTTCGTATAATAATTATATAGTAGGCCTAATGAATTTTCATACTGAACGTTGCTCAACAATCGTTCAACTTTTGTTTAATCTAGGTCAAAACTGAAATTAGCCGACACATGATAATTGCGGGCATGATAATTGATAAAACCAGGCTCGTCATTCCCATTAGTTTTGTGTATTACAGTATTGTGTTTTGTTTTTTAATTGGCCTATTGTAACAAACCATGTTAACTATCATAGTGCAATCCATGAATTAAAGACGGTAATGTGTGGAGATTAATTTTGCAAATCTCGGAATGTATATTTTGAAACAATTAATTGCAAAGATGCACAGACAAAGGCCTGTTGGCAGATCATCAGTAGACCGAGATCGAGATGGATAGATGCCATGGAGTAGGTGGAGAAAAAGGTCATGGATTTGTCCGAGTGGTACAATGTGGTGAGAGAGGCTAGAGTCTTAAGGATGAAAAGCCGTGGATGACGTATAACATATATATGTTATATTTTCTTAGCTAATACATTTGAAATAATAACATACCTCCATTGATAGAAAAGCTATAGTTGAGTGCGGGGATAACTCCATTGTCAATTATGAAGAGATAATTTGTAAAAGCTTCCTGTTCGAGAATAGTGAAGCCCAAATTCAATCTTCCATACGGTGGTACGACATCTTGATATTTGATGATATAACCACCAGCCATGACGTTGCTATCGGACTCGTTATCAAACTGGATTTTAGAAGCGCTTGTTACAATGCAGTAATTCGTTGGCCTCGGGTAGCCATAAATGTCAATAACAACAGAAACATTGCCATACAGTTCAGCATGTAGTTGTTTTATGGTTGAATTTATGAGAGGAAATTTCAGATTAGGGGAACCTGAAAAAAATATTGTATTGAAAAACTCTAAATTTATGTTTCACAAATCGATATATGAACATTAATTTAGTGGTTATTTTTTTAAAGCTAATATTTAATTCTTAAAGGTATACAAGCACTCTGATTTCTTAAATGAAACCAAAGGTGGGGCGGGGAAGAGAGACTGCAGTCAGGTTAGGTACAAGGGTATATATGAAAGAATGTATGGGAAAACCTGGGGGGAGGGGGGGAAGGACGCAACAAAACAACGAACGTGTAGAAAAGAAAAGGCAGGAAGGATTCTTTTAAGGTATTCCCAATCTTTGTTTAACTTCTTTCTTTCGAATTTTAACCTTGTTACACATGATGTCAAACACCCAATTGCTCTTATTTTTTCATTTAAAAAATGGTGCGACTATTTGTACCCGGGTACCAGAAGTGAGAGGTTGGGATTAAAAAACTCTTTAAAATATTATTGTTGGTTTTGTAAGACAAAATTAGGTAACAAATGAAAGATAATTGAATGGACTATATGTTTGTACGCTTTCTTCTTCAGTTAAACTAAAATAAACTACCACAAATGACATCCGAATGGGATTTAGTTTAAGTGGACACGGGTCCGAATAGCGGCTATGCCTACCCGGGTCTCTTTAGACTAAATCCCATTCGGATGTCATTTGTGGTAGTTTATTTTTAGTTACTAGATGATGCTAAATACGTGTTATATTAATTTGTACCCGACCCTTTATTTACTAAGTACTATCAGAGCGATATCTAATGACTTCGATTTGTGAAAACACGTAGCAAAATTATGACGATAATTTCTACAAAAAATTGCGTTAAATTTTTACAGCATTACAAATATTATCTTTTTTTTTACTGTCAGAGATTCATGATGATTATTGTAGATTTTTTAAAAATAAATGTACGTACTTTCTGCCGGGACCCCCTCCCCCACGCACGCATACGCAAAATCTCCAAAATCGACCCCTCAACCCCACTTTTAAGTGCGCTGTACTATATGGATGGCCCCGTCTTGAAAGTCAATGAATTTTCATGATTATATTTAATGCTATTGAAACAGGGCTAGTATCACACTGGCATACACCAATCCATGCGACACAGACCGGTTCAGTTAAATGCTTCTGTTATGTAGTAGACTTTTCCCCGTGCTTGAACTTTATTTCACCCCACGTTAGATTCCTAGCTGACGGTAGCGTTTGTTGTGGGCGTGGCTTAGTCTTTGATATATATCGTGTTTACTACCGGTTACCAATTACACATGGTTAGTATGTCTACTAGTATCTTGTTGAATCCTCTCGATTTGTTCTAGAAACATAAACAAATGCTGAGTAGTTTCTGGAAGGCAGGGATTAAGCTGCATTTATAAAGGGATTGACAGACACGGGAGAGAGAGATTCAGATAGATATATTTTAACTTTACGAGACAAGTGTTATTATTCTTTGTGTGCTCATATGTGTTTATTCGCATTGATCATTCATCATTATTAATTCGCACATTGTACTAACAAATGTGTACCGGTACAAGATTTTTTCATACTCTGTAAGTTGATGATTTGTAATTATATTTCTTTTGTTTTGTAATTGTATTATTACTAAGTTAAATCTTACTAATTGTAATTGGCAACTGTTTTTGCGTGTCGTAACTTTATTTATTGTATTTTTCTCTATGGTATCGTCCTTTGTTGTGCACTGTGTGAACGAGACATAACTTAAAACAGGAGATTAATTTCTCACAATAGAAGCCAGTGCCTAACAGCTTCTTTATAAACAAAATAATCTGTTGGTATTTTTAGTTTTGAATACACTACTAATTTTTCAGTTATGTCTACTACGTTTGCTTCATTTTTCATGATAAGATAATTACTTTAAAAAAAAAAAAAAACTGGGGCATAATATGTTTCCCTAGACATTTGTATCTTTGTGACAAAAAATAATATTTTATTTAACTTATTTTTAAAACCAATAAATGATTCGATCATATTTTGTAAAGTACTTTACATAATCCAATGTTTCGTTGCACAACACATTGGTTGCGGCGTTAAGCGTAAACAATGAAGAAACACATTCAGTTCACACCTTAGCGACATATTGATCAATAAAAGAGTGTTTCTTTCTTTTAACTCCATAGATAAGTTTGGTAATTATTATTTGAGGTGTCTTTTAAGCAAAGCATAAATCTCCTTAGGTCGGAAACAAAGCTATATTTTTTGCTGAAAATAACTTCATCATCCAGACATTCCCGGGAAAACTTCACGACAATGCGTTACAAATTCACTTGTTTTGTTTTCTTCTGTCAACCAAACATTAATTTAATGGACTTTAAACTTATTAATAAAGCTCAAGCAGATCAAAAATACAACAACTTATATAGGTCGCTACTTACATTCAACATAGACATTAACACTTTTAACAGCCGATACTTTTGACTGTACCGCTACGCAAGTGAATCTGTTATAACTGTCACAGGTCATGACGTGTGTCAATTCTACTGAGTGAGGTGACGACGGACCCCATCCTTGATACAGTAAAATATTGCCATTGAAAAGTCTGAGTTCTGGGGTTGGATAACCATCCACTTCACATTGGATTGAGATGTTTGTTCTTGGCTTCACAATGAACATATCTTTTGATTCCCCATTAATCCTAAAGTATTGAATCATGGCAGGATCTGAAAATGTATCGATCTCAAAAGCTTTTAAGAACATGTTATAAGTTTCCTTTTTTTTAAAAAAAAATGTTATTGGTCTATATTATAATAATGTGTAATGTTTAACAAATAAATGAGATTGGGACAATGTCACTTACAATATAATTAGACACTAGCCGCAAGTTATTAACCAATAAAAAGTTATAGATTTAATTTTTTTTTTAAATAACCTTTACATTAATTCAATAGGTTTTTGTTAACGGGTGAATTTTGCCTGCCCAAAATATATAAAAGTATTACTATTCAAATGCAGTGAGAAGTTTTAGCTGCAGGAAGCATTTTATTTTAGCTTTTTGACGACTGTAAACGTCCACTTACATAAAACATTTGGTTTGTAAAACGCCAATTCACTCTTCCAACCAAGCATATTCTTAGCCTGGCAGTAGTAATCTGTTAATACACAAATAAAGACACAAAATTGGACATAATTCCAATTTTTTTTTTTTTTTTTTTTTTTTTTTTTTTTTTTTTTTTTTTTTTTTTTTGAGATTGATATAATTTATCGTCACTTCAAATCTGGATTATGTTCTTTAAAAAAACTGTTTTCCAGATGACTGTCACTGTCATGTTTTTTTGTTTTTTTTTAAAGCAATTTTATCGTAAGCCAATGACAACATTATGTTGTGCCTATATAGTATTTAATTTGAGTTTTCTTATATTTTTTATGGTTCACAATTTTTTTATTAAAGAATAGCTATAAAATATATATATACATTTATTCATAGGGTACTGACTGACGCATTGTGTTAACCTACCTTGATAAACAAACCAGCAACGGAAAGTATTTATTTAAAAAATTGTAATGAGTTTATTTTTTATTTAATTTTTTAAGTCTCTGTTTAAACTTCAGTTATCGTTTTAATAGAATAAAAATATTGAAATGTAATTCAGATCATCGGTTCAATTAGACAAACTGTAAGAAATCATTAGTATAAGAGAATTGTGTTCTCAGTGTTTACCTTTAAGATTCTTTTGAGCTTGAAAGTTAAGTAGGCTCGATTGGTTGCTTGAAATCACATGACCAGCGGCATCATACCAGGTGATGTATTCACCAATACTGGAGGTTGTATTCTCCTTACATGTGCATTTTACTTCTGTTCCAATTTCAACAGCCTTAGGACAGTCAGCTAGTGTGACGCTTGGAGACTCTTTTGTCAATTGAAAATGTGAAATGAAGACGGTGAATTGTTTCGTCATATTTTTAATGAGATTATGCAAAGTTTCTCTCAATTTTGAAATAAAAACTCTAAATTGTAAATTAAAATTTATTAGTATGCGAAAATACTTACGAAGAAGTAGAGTTTTTGTAACTTCTCTCCCGTACTGAACGTCATCATACTCATCATTGGTGATATTAGGATACATGGAAACTTTAAAAATATAAGTTCCTTGGCTTATGTTAGATTTGTGTACTACTATATTGCACTTCGAAATGAAATACTTTGGATTTCCTGGAATCTCAACATTGCTTTCTGATATTATTGTTGAATCCATAGTAAACTGTTGAATAATGAAACACATATAGGTGAATTATTGCTGTACTAGCTGATATACCCGGCCTTGCCCGTATTGCATTCGGAAAAACAACAACTTCTAAGGCCTTTAAATTAACATTAAAATTAAACATCATATAAAGAACAAAAAAACCCTATGGTAAAAAAAAAATTCCGTTGTCGCCTATATAAACACATTTATAGTAACTTTTATAACACGTTAGTTCCCAATGGGATCCCGATAACAGAGAGATCCTAAATCGGATCCCGTTACCCATGGGATATTTTTTTTTCGATGGTATCCTGGAACCCGGAAGGATCCCTAAACCTAATGGGATCGAATTCCTTTTTAGATCCCAATCCCGTTTGGATCCCGATCCCATTGGTATTCCTATACCTGATGTATCCCGATCCTGATCTCATAGGTATTTTGGTCCCGGTGGTATCACGGTCCCTATGGGATCCTGAACCCGGCGAGATCCCGATACTGGTGGGTTCACGATCCCGATCGGATACCGATCCCTGTTTAATCCCGACCCCGGTAGTTTCGAGTTTCCTGATATGATTCTGATCCCGGTGGGATCCTAATCTCGTTAGTATTCTGATCCCAGTGGCATGCCAATCCCAGTGGGATCCCGATACCACTGGGTTCTCGATACTGGTCGGTTGCCCGATCCCGGTGGCATCACAATCCCAGTATGATCAAGTTTACCGATAGGATCCCGAGCCCTTTAGTATACCGATCCCGTTATGATCCAGTTTCCCGGTGGGATGCCGATCCCTCTGGATTCCAATACCGGTGGGATCCCGATCTCATCGATATTTTGATCCCGGTGGTATCTCGATCCCAGTAGGATAGGATCGTGATCCCGTTAGCAGTTTTTCTATCAGAAATTTTCCCCCGGGGAGGGGCATCTCAGATTTTTTTTTTGGGTGGGGGGGGGGGGCTATGCCAGTGGCCAAATGCTTAGCTAAGAGGTGGTAGATGGGACATACGTCCCAGGGCGCCAGACTTGCGGGGGAATGGGCTTTGATGGAATTGATTGATTGAAAATAACCGGTTTCAGATTTGCAGGGGGGCGTAAAAATTAATCTTTTCCCCTGATGCCAAACACTGTAGATACGCCACTGGTAGTGGCGTCGAAATAGGGCGGATGGAGTGGTCCACTCAGGTGTCACTTTTTCTTGATATGCTGGTGTGGCATTTTTGGACAACTGCAGAGTTTGAATCGTGAAAGGGAGTACGGCCAAAATATTTGGCCGTTCATGGCGGCACTAATAGTAGCTACGTCACTAGGCAGTGTATCTATTGATACCAAAATCGGCGATCATTTTCATCTGAAGTAAGGCGAAATTCGATAGTGCAGACGCATCTTGAGCGGTGGACGGGTTTTTGGGAGCTTGCTGCAAAGAAAGTTTTTGATTATTTCAAAATCAAGAGGTGTAGTTTTGAGTATACTTCGATGGTTCTATTATACCTTTTGAACAGGGGAGAACATTCTTAAAGGTTTATGGGGGGTATTATTTAGCCCAGTGCCATATATAAACTGAATTCACCCCGTTTGTGGCATTGATCATTGATCAGCGTGAAGGAAGGGGTGCATAATTAAGGGTGCTAAAGACAGTCATACAAACTCAATATGCATGGGTGCATTATTTTGGCGCATACTTGAATTTGTTGTTTCTTTTAGACAATTTTGAGGTGGCATTTCAAACTTTCGAGTGGAAAATAGCAAAATTAGCCATAATAATTACCATGGACATCTTAAATTTAGCACCAGCAGGACGTAAACTTTAAGCATTCTAGTTATGTCACCCTTGGGGGTATGATTTTGCACTAGATTATTCTCGCCCTTTAAATCATTATAGTCCCTAGAAAATTTTTGATAAGTTCAAAATACAAGAACGCATTTTTCACATATCTGAATATAGGTTTGCAATAAATACTTAATTGGAGAGCAACGAAAGATATCCAAGTTAAAAAATATATGTGCCACTTAACCTTAGAACCATAGTGTGCGCCCAGCAACCCCTATGACTGAAGGGTGCCTCGGATATTTTAGGGGCTTAAAGATGTAATTAGGATATTTTATTACTTATCATCTTTCGATGCATGGTTAGCAAAACGGAAATTGCTTGTCCTGCTTGTGATATGCAAAAAAAAAAAAAAAAAAAAAAAAAAAAAAAAAACTATTATTTAACCTTAAATTGTACTGTAACTATTATTTTTTATTTACATTATTTTAAGGGATAGCTACTTAATTAATAAATGAATTTTCAAAAAAAACAAATACAATTAAAAATGGTTCCATCACTAAAAAGCGCTGCAAACATTATTTTACATGATGAACGCAAAGGAAAAAGCAAACATACTTAAAATTATAATCCTTAGACTAACTTTTCTATATAAGTCCTAATTTGACCAGAGTTAAAAAGAAAAAACATTATTAAGGGTTTTGGTTTTGAAATTTTTTTATAAATTGCATATAAGCTGCATAACTATTTTAAGAAGACATGAGTTGTTTAAAAAAGACATATTTACTAATGTGTGATTTTCTCAATGGGAATTTCGCATGCAAATAAAGTATAACTTCCCAATATTTAATAGATTGGAAATTTATTTTGAATTTCAAACTACTATAACTTGCTTAAATCGCCTCTTCGATATATTAAAAACATTTTATCTAAATCCTTAGAATATGTTTAAAATTGACAAATTAGGAATAAGATTCCCAAAAAAATGGAAATCTGCATGATCATCGAAATGCTAGTTCACACAAAAAAATTCTTAGCTTTCTACTGGAGTTTCATCTAAAATAAAATTATTAATGTAAAATAGACATTACAACGAGAAAAGTAGTTGGGAAGTTGATAATTATCAATTTAGGCTAACGGCTAAGTATGTGTCACCCCCCGGAGATCACGGAGATCTAGCTGAAAGAAACCCGGCCCGTTAGTATCCTGATTCCGTTAGAATCCCGTTTCCCGGTGGGATCCTCTTCTTTGATGGTATCTTGTTTCCCGAAAGGATTCCGAGCCCGTTTTGATTGTTACATTAAGAAATGGCGTCAGCAGGGCGAGTCTAGACTCTTATGCCCCCCAAATTATCCCTCCCCGGTCCGACGTATCGGGCCGCGGAGCGGCACGTTGGAGATGCCCACTGGTCAGGACGGCCCCCACACGGGCCCCTCACCCAAGTCCCCCGCCTGGGCGCTCGACCAGGACCCCGCCTGGGGGCCGCCCCAACCAGTAGGCACCCGGTCGATCCGACACTATGCGTTTAAATAGTGCACTCGATCGACTTTCTCAGGAGTTGGGATGGAAAAATTTACGTCCTAATATCTTCCCCCACCCATCCCGGGAAAGCGTCGGACGCCCTATAAGAGGGATTCCACAGTGAGTTTCCACAACACGACTAGCTCACGCTGTAGCTGGGACGAAACGGTTGCGTAGGGGCAGCGTTCTCACGGCTGCATTATTTGAATCCTCGGCCAAAGAATACCACCCTCGCCTCTGCCCTCATACCCGTCAACGGCAACTTGTAATCCGTTTTGATTCCGTTACCCGATGTGATCGCGTAACCGGTGGGTTCAGTTTACTGTTGGATCTCGTAAACATTACCATAAGCTTTTTGATCCCATTATATATCCCCTTAGAACTACCTAGAACCTTCTGGAATATTCTAGATTATATTACTATCCTCCTCGGAACGTGTAAAAAATGACTTTTTTACGTAATTATTTTTTATTACCAATACAAAAAAATTATACAACTAAATGCACTACAAAAGTATAGTACATTTACGTGGATAGAGGGGCGCTGACGGGGGCCCCTTCCATAATTGTACTGATTTAATTTTGTCTGAGACAGGGAGCCCTATAAAAATCAGTCTGATAAATAGTAAAGTAAAAATTTAAGAGTTGTCCCTGTAAAATCGGTATAAAATTCCATAGATACAGTTTTTTTTCAAATTATCAAACTTTCTGAAAAATTCTAGATTAGATATTCTTAGTTTTAAATCCGCCGATATTTATAGGAATATTCACATAGAACCTATAGTGTTTTTTAAGCCTTTTGATATTTATAAAACTTATATAAGGAAAAAGGAAATAAGCCCCCGGACCCAAACGAAATGTTATAAAAAGTTTATAACCCCCAGTATTTGATTCTGGATAACTAGAAAATAACACACGATTTTTTTTGAGATAATAATGGGCGGCACTTTGCGATAATTTCCACCTGCTATTGCGAAAAATCATCACAATTCCTAATCTTTTTAAAAGTATCTATGTAATGATGTGTAGGTTTCTTAAATCATTAAAAGTTTTGAGAAGTATTTATCTACTATATATTATATGCCTAACCTACCCATTTTCAAGTCCCTAAACTACAATTATTTTTTCTCTCTTAACATGACCTTAAATTAACCAAATCTAAATGCTCACTAAATAGATCATTATTTTCACTAAAGAAGTTCATTGACGGCTGATTTCTACGCTAGAGAAATGCAACAGATGTCAGGTGTTTTTAAGTTGTTCATTGTTGGGCCTGCACTACAATTTTTCGTGCGTCTAAACTAAATAAAAATCTCCCAAAAAAAAGTGAAAACTTAGTCTTAAATTTACAACAAAAACTCTATATACCATTGTAAATATATTTTATAATTAACATAATTTGATATACTGATATCTTCATTAAGAATTTAACCGAACTTTTGATTTGTTTTCTACTATATTATCGGAAGATCGTAAAACAAAGAATTCTTTTATCTAAAGAAGAATCTCTCAACCATTTTTACGCCTGTAACAGCCTTGAGTGCTTTTTTTTCCAGTAATGCCCTTACTCTCTTAACAATATGCACTTACTTTACTG